CCTAATATTTAGGATATGAGAAGGAGAATCTCTGCAGAATAAGATTAGATCATCTGCAAACTGAAGATGAGTTAGGTGGAAGGGATTATCATACCTACCAATACTGAACCCTTCAAACAGACCCAAATCAGCAGCCTTTATCAACATTAAATTTAGAAGCTCCCCAACTATATTAAACAAAAGAGGGGACAAATTTCAGCCTTGTCTCAACCCTTTACTAATGGTAAATTCCTCTGTTGGAGACCCATTCACTAACACCGAAATTGAGGCTGAAAAACACAACATTCAATCCATGAAATCCGCTTATCACCAAAACCCATAACCTTCAGAATTCTCAGTAAAATTGGCCATTCAACCAAATCATAAGCCCTACGGAAGTCAATTTTGAATACACTCCATACCTCCATTGTTTCCTCCAATAGTCAATGCCTTCATTAGCCAAAAGAGCACAATCAAACAATTGTCTACCCGGAATAAATGCAAACTGCGAAGGGCTTACTATGCCATTAATAACTGCAACCAGCCTTTTCGACAGCACTTTGGAAATGATTTGTATAAGCTGCCAACAAGGCTTTTAGGTCTAAAATCTTCAATTCCCTCAGGATTCAGTTTCTTGGGGATAAGAGTAATAATGATTAACCCCATGATCCCATTTCCTTCCTCTGTGAAATTCATGAACAAATTTCATAATATGATCCTTCAATATAGGCCAGAATTTTTTAGAAAATCCCATAGTATAACCATCCGTCCAGGTGCCTTGGCACTGTCAGAATAAAAAATAGTTTCCCACACTTCCTGTTTAGAAAATTCAACTTCTAGACTAGCCTTTTGCTCATCTGTCAATTTAGCAAAATTCAGATTAAGTTCGTCCACCTCCAGTGTTGTTTTTGCATTATAATTGTCCTTGAAAAAATCCGAGATAACAACTCTAATCTGAATCGGATCCGTAATTTCTTCACCAGCTACTTTCAATGCCGAAATGGCATTTACTCTGTTCCTATTCAGAGCACATAAATGAAAGAACCTCGTTCTATCCCCATCCTTAATTTATTTCATTCTTGACTTCTGAAGCCATATTTTTTCCTCCTTCCTATGCAATTTCCACAGATCATTCCTCAAAATCAGTAGTTGATCCCAATCTTGTGAAGAAAACCCCCCACCTTGTGACTTCAATTCCAAATCATTAATCCGGGCTTCCAATTCTGAAATATGTTCGGAAATACCCATTTGGTTTCCTTGAAGTATGCTAAATAAACCCCTTCGACCATTAACCTTATTCAAATTAGTAAAAGAATTTTGAACCATCCCAGCAAAGCCATCTTCCTCTAACAAGTAGTTGAAAAATCGAAAGGGTTTAGGTCCCCAATTTCTGAATTCTTCTTCAAGCAACACTGGGTTATGATCAGATAGGGATTTTGGTAGCATTTTTTGAGTAACTTTTGGAAAACAATGGAGGAAGCTACCATTAATTAAAAACCAATCAAGTCTTATCCAAGTGGAAGACTCCCTATTATTGCACCAAGTAAATTTTCCTCCAACTAGCGGGAGATCCATAAGATTTAGATTTTGGACAAAGTGAGAAAATAAATCCATAGAATGCCAATTCTGAGCCACTCCAATTTTCTCCTCTGGATCTAGATAAGCATTGAAATCCCCCCTAAGCATACTGGCAAGTCTAAACTAAGCACAAAACTCATCAATTCTCTGAAAAAAACCTCCTTATCAGCCTCTACCGACGGATCTTACACATTAATAATGACACAGTCACAGTTAACTGCCTTGAACTTCCCTGATATTGCAATGAATCTATTGTTTCCGTGTTCTATGGTGACTTCAAAGAATTTTTTCCACAAACAAATTAAGCCACCTGCATACCCATCAGCTAGTTGAAAGCTTCTACCATTCAGAAAATTGCCCCCCCAGCTTCCTCCATTTTCCATTTTGGCAATTATTCAATTTAGTTTCCTGTAGAAGCAAAATGACCGGTTTGACTTTACTAACTAGTCTAGTTACTGCTCGAATTTTTCCCTCTTTCCCAAGACCCCTAACATTCCAAGAAATCATTTTAAGTCGTGACATTTGAATTGTATGACAGAAACCCCTTATCAACCAGATACCAACACTCAAGATCCCTTTATAAACCCTTCCAACTCCATCTTCATGATCTCCTCTTCTAGTAACTGTTGCCCCCCTTTAAAAGAAATCCCCAACAAATCACAAACCTCCCTAGTAGCAACTGCTTCATTCCTTGCTTTTACAGTTTGGTTGGAATACTTTGACGTAGCACTGTCTTGATCCAAAGCTTCCCTGACCACACCTCTATCCACCCTCTATAAACTATCGTGAAAGCAAATAGAAGCACCCTCCGAACAAACACTACCAGAACTTGGAGCAATCCTTAATTTCCTATGATTAATATGCTTCTTGAGCGAGTAGCTTGATCCGCATTATTCCCCTCTGCAGGCTTATTATCACCTGTAATTGCTCTTGGACTTCCTTGATCAGGCCCACTCATCTCTAGCCTGCACATGCTGATATTGAGCCCACTATCTTGGATAACCTTTTCCTGCCCCAAGGTGTCACCCCCATGCTCCACTCCCTTTCTCTCCCTTCAATACAAACCCCCACCATTTCTGCTAACTTGGGACATCACCTCGTACTATCTACACAGAACAGAAATCAACACCCAAGATATTATTTAATTCAACTTTTCCTTTCACACACCCCTCGATCTGCGTGTCACCCCCCTTGGAGATTCCCGAACCTATGCCTCTACCCTGTTATTGGATTCTGACAACACATACTTGCCCAACTGCCCATCTCCTTGGTTTCCGTCCGACGGGTTCTCCTCCCAAGACTCCATTGTTCCGTCTTCTTCAACGACATCTTCTAACTCAGGGAAGAAATCTTCACTTCCTTCTACCTTAATCTTAATAGTGAACGACCTTCCATACGTATTAATTGTGACATGGGGAGGAATATCGAATGGAATCTCAACCCTCAACAATATATGAGCCACTCTGCAATCTACTCTTTGAACTGTTTGCTCCTGAATCTTCTCTAGCTTACCCCATCTCGATGCCAAACTTGTGAAGAATGATACTGACCAGCAGTTTAACGGAACACCAATCATAGAAACAACAGTAAGGTAATGGACACACTTCTCGTCCATAACAGGCTCTAGCCTTTCGAACCAATAAGACAGTGCCTCCCACTTGACTTCCATCGTGGCATTTTTCTCCTCCACGGACTGGAAAACTATTAAACAAACGTTTTTGCATAAACCCACATATCACCTTGACATTGATTCCCTCGTTCCTTAATACCCTATGCACAAATTCAACTTCGAAAGACGCCTTGCAAATACCTGTTAAGGACGATCTTAGCCATGTCCTTTCCCCATTGGAATAAAAACTTCCAAAGGCTTCTTCACCTCCCTCTTGTCTCCAGGGCTGCCCACTCTCTTGCTCTCAACATTCTTCACGCCCATTACCGTATCCTTATAAGTCCTACCATCATGAAACCTGTTCAGCAGCTCCTTTTTCCCAGCATTAACTGGAAATAATGACCTTCTCTCTGTCGACTCTCATGCGCCTGCCTCTCTAGACCCCTTCACACTATTACACTTCAAGCTCCTCGAAATACCAGTCCTCTGATATTTCGCGATCGACACTGATATTCTCCTCTCATCGACGAGGACATTATTCATTTCCTTTTCATTAAGCAAACCTTTTTGCTTGCAAAGTGCACGAAAGCAAACGTATTATCTTTGTAATTCGGTCTCCTATTAACTAAAGGAATGAACACCTTAATCACATTGCCACAATAACTAAAACGCTCCCTTAAAACACTCCTATGCACTCTCCTACTAAGATTGTCTACGAATGCTACCCACGATACACCTCCTGCACAGCTAAACCTCTGGCTGAAGAACCAATACCCTTCGATATCACTCACTCTCTCTCTAACTTTCTCACTCATGTTTCTCTTTTCAACCATGTGAACATATTAATATTTGAAAATTGACAAACCCATATGAGAGCAGGAATTAAAAGAACTACAAAACTATCTCAATGGTAACTTCATAAGAAGCACATAATTCATTAGTTATTACATGCATCAAATCTCTTTTGTGGTGAACTCTTAGGTTTTAGCAGAACAACATATCATAAAAGAGGTTCAACAAAAGCAAAAGCAAAACAAATATTTTTAAAGATATATAAAACCAAGTATAAAGATAGAAGTTTCCATAAACTCCTATCAAAGGCTGAACACTTGGTCCTTTTTTCCATGATCCTTCAGCAACATAAAGCATTACAGAGATTATTCTAGCACATTGTTGTTTAGGGTGCACGGCAATCTAGGTGCTAGAACCTTTATATTGCTCAAGATGCAAGGCACAAGATAATGCACACACATGAGCAATGTAAGGCACCATATCTATGAGCGTATAACAGTACTACCCCCTGTATAGTCCTATGATCCTATCAAAGGCAGAACACTAGGTCCTTTTTCCTTGATCCTTCTGCAACATAAAGCATAAGCATTATAGAGGTTATTCTAGCACATTCTTGTTTAGGGTGAAAGACAAATTCTAGGCACTAGAACCGTTATATTGCTCAAGGCACAAGGCAAGAGAAAAGGCACTCGCATGAGCAAGGTAAGGCACAATATCTATGAGTGTTTATCTTTGTACCTGTGTGTATATAAAATAAGCTTCATAAATATAATCAAGCAAAGAAGCTCCTTTTTCTTTTGTTGGTCAATGTGTTTGATTTCCTTATAATCCTATGTCATAGCTAAGTCCACTTCTATAACACAACCCAAATACCATTAACCTACTAGAAATTACAATATAATCCTTATACTCTAATTTATAGAAGCTATTTAGACGTGTATAGATTCTGCTACTGTAAATGGACTAGAGTTGATGCATTCCAGTATCTCATACATATCCTTAAAAATAAAACCAGTGCTAAGAAAAATAATTAAATAATTACCAAATGATCACCATATTTCGCCAACTCTATTGTGGACTTCATAAAACTGAAAACTGATTTAGAATCCTCTTCATTAAACCCTGTAATGCCATTAATATTGCTGCAAATGGAACAAAAGGGAGAAAAAGCAAGCATATAAGGAAAGTAATACAGATAGTGGCAGTTGCAAGAGAAATATAACTGAGACAAATAACTTCAGCACCACCAATAACTATACTAAGCATTTCAGAATCCAAACACAATTTACAACTCTAAAGGCCCACCAATGAATGGTAATGCACAATATGCCATTCAAAAATTTTCCCATGCAATCGAATCCAGTCTTTACATAGTGATTATAATCCACTAGTATACCTCTTTGTTTGAATAAATACATGAACATCATTTCCCATCCTATTATATTTGTTCTCTCGTGCAAAGAATTTTTATGAATCAATAAAACAAATAAAAAAATACAACAAAATATTTTAGAATATTGCTTCACACTAACAAAGAACATATTTTTTCGGTACTTAATGAAATTGTTGTAGTTCGCAACATTTATTTCCAGGGAGTTCCTCTAAGTAATAATTTCTATCTATTTTCTTTTCTAGATTGAACACCTTTTTAGAGCTTCTCATTAAAATTTAATACTATGTTTTAATCTTACTAGTGGAATTAATTAGTACATCCCAAACGTCAAAGCAACATTTGGACCATGGCAACTTTCCAAGGGACAAACGCTTCATATAACTAAAAGACTTGAACCCAAAAACCCTAGACGTCAATTTTGCAACAGGTCCCTAAATGATTAAATATTTAAACTGGACATCATGCACCTCTTCACAGTTCATACCCTTTCAAAATAATGGCTATCAGTTGCATACCCTTTCTCAGCATCATATCAATGTTTTATAGAATTTATAACTAATGGCTACCTGAATCTAACTCCAAAAAATGCAAACCAAAGATGTAGAGCTTACTAGGTTGGTGGATGATATGACGTTGGCCACAATTTGCACTGTTCTTCCCACTCCTTTGATAATGCAACATGTTTGCAAACCTAAAAGTCATTTAGGTACATGTAAAACACAAACTAACTTGACGCAGATCCAAAAGCCATGCCTCAGTAAAGGAAGCTACAAATGTAAATATTTTAAAGGAAGATGCCATGGAAAAGACCAAATGTTCAATAAAACTTCCAACTTCCATGACTTCAGTTATATGAAATCTCTAACAGAAGAATGAGAAAAAGAAGAGCAGACATATGAAATAACATAAATGAACATAATGTAGCAATGGAAAAGGTAATAACAGCATACGGTGACAAAGTGAGCGGAAACACATATAGAGAGAGGCACACATAAGGTGCACACACATGTACCAAAAAACATAGAGAGCACCGAAAGGGAAACAAAAAAAGTTATAAAAGGAAAAGCTAAGACTTTTCAATCAATTGTTGATATTTCACACCTCCGTTATACATAAAATGGGTTTTAGGTCAAACAATGTTACAATATGAAAAACAAATGAAGAAAACCCACTTCGGTAATAAAAGGAGTCAAGTTGTAGGAATTGACAACATCTTCCACACCCGGTGGCATAGTATTGGATTGTGTTTCATTTTCAGAAGCCAAACATAATATGACAAACAACTCTGGTTTCCCTGTCACATAAGGCAATTGTCACAAACATATACTCAAAAAAGAAATTGAATACACCTGATATGATTCATTATGAAGATTTGAATGAAGGCTTGTAGTATTGGAAATGAAAGAAAGGAGAAAATTCAAAGTACAATTATGTAAGAACAGATATTAACCCCCTTGGACTTGCTTTTTGTTAATCCTCTTCAAATGCTGGAGATTTTGAAGCGGTGCAATCTGATTAAGTCGCCTATCATTCCCGTTCCGTTCGATTCCATTCAAGGAAAGTACTATTAGTATTGCTTATTAAATTCACTCCACCATCATCATAACACCAACAACAATAAGAGAAGTGGTAATATTATTACCTTATAACAGTATTGGCATGTTTCGGTTCAATTAAGGAAGCATAAACTTTTTCTGTATAATGCATACGTCAGTTAAAGAATAAGAAAAGGAAAATGAAAAGACAAAAAAGGGAAATGAGAATTGATGAACTCACCGGTCGGTTGGCGGGTAGGGGAAACAGGTGGGTTGGGTGGAATATGGATGATCTGTTGCAGCTGCTTGTTCATTATCGAGGAACTAAGATAGGCTTCTCCAACAGAACAGTTGCTTCCAAGCAGAGGCAGCACCGCACCAAGTTTGTGTTATGCTGCCCAAAATCCCTATAAAGTACTCAAATAAAAATACTTGCTGCATTCAGCAGAAATAATAAAATAAAAGAACAAAATAAATAATACTTGCTTCTAAATAAATTCTCCTTCTCAACAAAGTAAACAGAGAGGGAGTATTGAAGAGACAGAATAACAAGCAGTAGATCGAAAAACAGAAAACTAAATGTAGTAGAGTGATGCAGATGCAGTAAAAAGATAACCGAAATTCCCATGACTCAAGTAGGAATCAATCTTCAAGATTAGGATTCAAAAATTACTTATTTAATCTCCTAATATGTCGGAAACTTGGGTCAGGGACCGCCGGAGGAGGAGGAGGAGAGGCTTGTTTGGCGGCGGGGACGTCGGAAGAGAGTCAAGAGTGGGTTGGAAGATTTTAAGGGAAATTTCGAAAACCATTTCATATATATCAAGTCACCCGGTCCGTCCGATCGACTTGAATTGATTATTAACTTTCAATTTAAACTCTTAAATCATTTTATTTCCCCCCCCCCCCCCTTAAAATTAACCTTTTCAAATTAAAATTTATTGAAAATTTTACTGTTGATTTTCTAAAGAAAATGAACGGAAGAGCCTAAAATGATCGGTTAATATACGATTAAAAATAATAATTTTATTTAGCTATTGAATGATTAATTTTGGGAAAATTAAAAATCATTTGATCTAAAAATATTATTTAATCGGATAATATTAATAGCAGTAAGTTTCGATATCTCAAACAATATCGATATTTATGTTGAAAACAATGAGAGAGAAAAATATAAATCACAAAAAATAACTTATTAAAAAATATCAATATAAACAAAAATTAATTTTTAATAAATTCGATGCTCATAACAAGTATCAATATTTGTCTTAAAAGATTAATGTAATAAAATAGAAAAATCTCATATTTGTGTGACATTAAAAGAAAGTAAAAGATTTAAACTTAACGATCATCTGTTTCAGTATTCACTCAACTTATAAAAAATAAGTGAATAGCTCACTTTCAATTTTAGTGGGTGTCGAAAACTTGTTTGAAGATTTTAATTGTGGAGATGTTTCTCATGAAATGAAGAGAAGCATATATTCAGGTTCCATCAAATGAAAAATGAAGAATATCGAATAACAATAAATTGAAAAGTTTAATGCTAGATTATGAAATTTAGGTATTTCTAGTAAAAACATACTATATTCGTATTTAGAAGGACAAAACATGTTGGCTATAAATTTTGAGATTCGTTAATGTTGTCATTTGTAATGATGGTCAGAAATAATAAACATTGTCGTAACCGGTTTTCGTCGGGCACGAAATATTTAATTGGCGGGAAAAGTGATGAATAAATGGTTTTTAAAATAATTTGGGAGTCGCCATCGGCCTTTTGGGTCAAGTAGGTCGAATACCTAAAAATCATCCTTTAAAGAGTTTTAAGAAAATCGATAAAGATAAACTGATCTGGTTAACCAAAAATTCGTTCTTTTTAATAATAAAAAGGATTCGTGGTCGGTTACGTAGGGAAGTTTAACACCCTATAACGCCAAAATTGGTACTTTTTAATTAGAATTGTCTCTATTATGAAATTAAAATTCAAAATATATTTAATTATCCTATTATTTTAAGATTATAATTATGAAAAAATATATATTAATTTATATATTTATAATAAATATTTATTTATTAGAAATATCAGAAAAGGACTCTAGGTGCTTAAGACAGCTCTTTTCTTTGATATTAAATAAATAAATAATAATTAAACATTAATATATAATTTATAAAATAAGATATTTATTTATTTAAAAATATCAGAAAATGGACATCCAGTTATTTTAAGACTGCCCTTTCTTAATATTGGAAAATAAATAAATATTAAAATAGGATTAAAATAAGTTTAAATTCACCAATAATGACTAAAGTCTCCTGTGGGAATCTCTTTACATTTTCTTTACTTAAAATTTTAAAATCATTCTCAACAACCTCAACCTCCCATCATTATCCATTAATCAAGTAGTGTTTTACTATACTCCAATGAAAATACAATACTACAGGTCTAAAACGAAGAAAGATCACGTGAACACTTTCTTTGACAGTTTTCTTTTAATGTACTGAATAAGTCTTTTTGTCTTTCTTGATGATTTAATTCACATCTTCTGAAAATTAACTAAATTCAAGCAATTGTTTCACTCAGAGAGAAGCAGGCCTGTAATGAACCATGCTAAAAGAAAACTATAGCCCTCGAGTCAATGTTCATTTACTTCTTAATTTGTTTGTGTTCGGTGTTTTAAATTGATTTTAATAAAACTACTGTTTCGAACCTAAAAACTAAACAAACATATTTACGAGTTTAATTCATTTCATAAACAAACCTTAAAATCTTGTTCATGATAAACACACCATTGCTCAATCATTAGTTTTCCTAAAGTAATATGCACATCCGGATGCATGCAAGCTCACGAACAATACTCAAACAGTAAGCTCCATAAATTCTTTATCCATGGATTAAGCTTCCTGAAATCACTTATATACAACAAATTATTATCAAGTTGGAAACATGTGTACTTGCAGTTTCAGTCAATGAAACACAATCAAACTGTCTCACCTGAAGCCCAACTTCTGGAAGTGAATGATGTTGTTTCCTTGGGCTTGAAGGGACACTCCTGAACTTGGGGACGACAACCTTGAAATTTGGCAAAAATATCATGTAGAGTATGGCCAAAATAATGGGTGCCGCAACAAGCCATCCCAACAACTGCAGCAATTTCCATAAGATGATTTTCAAATTTAATTCCATATTGATAAGACAAGTCTCAATAATGAACAATCACAAAAAGTCCCAAATGCCATCTTTGATAAAATTACATCACCTTAAGCATACAGGATAAAAACCTTTCCACTTCAGACTATACTAATGTCAAGTTGAAGAACAGAGTAGATGTCACGGTGAGATAAGAGATATGGAGCAATTATAGAATACCCTGGAGAATTACATCTGTGTTTAATGCAGAGTATCTAGAAGGAAATGATAAACATTCTTTCTAAAATGGGAAATAACCTAAGCAAGCACAAACTTAAAATAATGTTCTAAACGAAAGATACTTTACATCTGTATAGATTCAGCCTTTCTTCAAAGTTTCCTCTCTCTCTCTCTCTCTAGACTTTCAAATCATAAAGTTTTCAGTTTTTTTCTTGTACAATTTGTCCACATAGGATAACCTTTGCATTATTTATTGATATATCTTCATAACAATATTAGTATCATCTTTATGAGATTAATGACACATTGGAACATGAACTATGATCTATTATTCATTTGTACCAAAAGTTTGAATATTGGCAATTAGATACACAATCTTTGCCTCAGTTTAAATAGCTTGCACCTTTAAGATAACTCTGTTAATCAGATTTAGAAAAGAACAGCAGATGTGAGGGTGCGCAAATCTTAACTCCTATTTATAGTTCTTGACATGTAACCCCATTTGTATAACAGAGTTTTGTAAGCTGTTCAGTCTACAACAGGGAATAAAAGTTGAAGTACTTAATTGCAAAGTTATTTTTCTTCAAATATCAAATTGATAATTTCATTATAATTCAAGTAGCAAATATGTAAGTGGCCCTTTTTTATATATGCCGGGAGAGGAAACCATTGACAGCAAATATCTTTAAAGTTCTTACATAGAAATGACAAGTATGCAAGCTAGTTCATCTCTATTTCTAGATGATGTTATGATACATGCCCCATAGATAATATTTGATTTTCTATCAACGAGATCAGAGATAGATGAAGGCATAGTAAAATGTCTGTAAGCAAATTTCCATTCAAACAAGTTGCAAAAGAAAAAATCAATTTTCACATAGACACGCAAATCTAGATGAAGAAATTAAAATGTTAAGGTAAAGTTGAGCAAAAAACAAATTCAGATGACTAATCGATTCAACACTAATTCATGATTGCTACCATTATCCAAACACCATTAGAATAAAGTAGGGTTCTTGGGGAAATCCTCATCACCAAAATTTCAAGCTTCTAAGCTCAATTTGATTCAATCAACAGTTTAATATTTCAATCCTATCAAATTGACATCTCTATCTACCATAATATGAAACCAAATCTATAAGATGAAATCAAATAAGTTCAAGGAGGAACAAGCATATGATCAAAAGAAAAGTTAAACAAGTTACGAGCAGAAAATGAATACTTACAGCACGGGCAATACTAAAGAGGAGCTCACTCGAAGCTTGGCCAGACAAAACTTTCTTCAAAGCATTAGAAGTTAGGGGAAATGAGGTCCACCCGATAACATTTCACCAAAGCGAAGGAAGGGCACCACCAGACTAGACGACAAGGTAGATCCAACCACGGATAAAACAAAGTGAAATGAAGGTAAATTTGCACTCCGAAAAGGAGGGCAAAAGGCTAAAAAAAATAGAATGAAAACAGAAGAAGTAATCACCTCAACTCGATCGGAGTAGCCAAGAAGTTAGCAAGCATGACAGTTGGAGAGTGGCAGTGAGATCCCAACAACGCTATTGCCATCCCACAAAGCAAGACTGTAACCCCTGCAGTATAACCAATCAAAAGAAAGCAAAGAAATAACAAAAAAGAAAGAAAGAAAGAAAAGGAAACATTACCGCATATTGGGAAAATTCCCAAAGTAATTCCCAGCGCTGCAGAGAATGCCAACTGCCTGGGTTCTGCTCCCCTGTAATAGGAAACCAATCAGATTTATTGATAAAATATATGAATGAAATTTGGAGCTGTAGCTTACTTGAGGAGGATCTGGAGAAGAGGATCCACGATCTTTTTGTTGAACCAAACCTTCATTGCCATAATGATAGAAAAACTGGAAATCTTTGATTAGATTTTGCAAAAATTGCTTCTCTCCTATACCTGATTTGAGACTGACTAACAAATTTATTTATTTTTTAATCTTCAAATAATATTAATTTCAGTGGGGGGAAATAAATACTGGAAAATAGGTAGAGGAAGAGAGCAATGAATGAACCGTTTCCCCCTTACCATAATTTA